ATGGGCAGTTAGCTAGTAACCTCATAAATCCAGATGCCAAAAATCCAGAATTGTCAAAAATCAAGCACTTCCTTCCACCACTCTCTTCTGCACTCTTGGATGCAGAGGGGGAAACTTGCATGTGGCGGCTGCTCCAGGACCCGCTGCCTCTATCCCCCCTCCCCCGCTGCTCCACCACGGGCTGCTGTGCTGGTTTAAAAAATCTGGCATTTTCAAATTTCCAGCAAGTGCTCGGTTCTGAGCATGCCAGATTTATGAGGTTATGCTGTACTTCACCATTGTCTGTCCTGTCAGGTGAGGTACAAGCAGCTCTGTCCATAATAGATACGCTTTGGTAACGTACTTTCTGTAAATACCTTGAATGAGTTTCATTACCTGCATAGACTATCTCATTGTTGAGTTAACACTGAAGCTAATGACAGCAATTCAAATATGAAATTTTAACTACTTCACTGATTTTAACTTCAGCAGAAAGATCCAGATACTCTGGGGTTGTGTGTGTTGTGCCTTCTCCCCCTTTGAAACCAGATGGTTCTAAAACAGCCTGCTGAGTTCTTATATTTTGGCCATTTGGGGCTTAAGTCCTCCCCCCCCCCATTCAACTGTAGGCTCATAAGTAAGAGCATTCAAAGTAAAAATAATTAAAAGGGCAGTAATACTGGTAGTTCTGTTGCATCATATGCTTTTTGTAACACTTATGCGTTATTTTTTTCTAGCTGTGAAGTCGCTCATTCACAGAGCAGCCAAACTAGTCTTGTAAAGGGGCAAAGTACTCCATGCAGCAAACATTTCTTCTTGTGATTGTGCTAATCTGCTGTTTCATTATGTTGTGGTGTCAAATAACATCCTGAACCCAGTTGGCCATTTGTGATCAGTGTCAGGTTGATCATTACGCTTGGAGGTTGTTGGCTGTCTGCTAAGAAGGTTCTTGTTTTCGGTTTATGTGGTTCCAGGGGTAAAATCTGTCTGATCTCACAGGGATACACATAGATTGTAAGAGTCCAGGAAATGGTGAAAAATGGGTGTGGATTGAATATGACCTACAAAGAACTTTTAAAAATCAAGCTTGTTTTCACTTTTTTAACTTTAGAAATATAAATTTTAGTCTTCTCTAGTTTTACTAGAGGATTTGTTAGGAGTGTCACAAATATGTGTTACAAGCTCTTACACCTTACTGAAGGAAAAGGGGATATTGAACAAAGGCATCCTTTCTTCAAGTGTCATTATACATTGTTGCTAAATAGCTGTTAATAGAACAAGTGTCTGAAATCAGTGTTCTGTGTTCATTTCCTTTTCATCATTTGGTTTTCAGCCTCTTGTAATGTTGTGATTTACTAGCTGTGCAATCTAATATTATAAAAGCCTTAGTCTGTCTGTCTGTTGTCTGAAACAATCAGAGTGTGTTCTGGACAGGATACAGCAGCGGTGGAGCATCATCATGATGGTGTGGACAGAGCAACCGGACTCGGGGGGCGAGGCCAGTGCCACTGGCGTTGCTCCTCCCCTGCTCCCTGTAGGAGGCGGGGATGGAGTGCTGGCCTCACGTCCTCCCCCCACCCTCCCTGGCCCTGCTCCCTGCAGTGGGCAGCATGGCATGCTGGCTGAGGGGGATAGAGGGGATGGTGAGGCAAGGTTTCCCCCCAGTGTTCCTGGGAGATGGCGGCAGTGTGGAGTGGTGGTGCTCTGTCCCTCCCCTGCATCTTTCCTGACAGGCAAATGGCTAGTACACTATGTAATAACATGAACCAGTTTGGACAGGTGATGACTTTTTAATGGGAAAAAAGAGTTTTACAGAAACTTTTCCTGCTCCCTTTGTACTTCATGAATCATCTAAAAAGGGTATAAAATAAATGTTTTACCTTTGGTGATCACTTTCAAAATTCATTCCCTGTTTACGTAATAAGATCTAACTCCTGGCTTTCCTTTTAAATTTGCTGGGCATGATAGTAGTAAATGTTATTTGGGAATTTATTAATATATCTGGAAAATTTTCTTCTGGCAGTAAGGAAGCATTGAGAGGGAGGGAGAGGGAACTATGCAGGTATAGCAAAGATGAGACTTGAATAAATGAATGTGTGATATATACCACTGTGGTGGTTGATGCAGAGCACACTTCTAGTGTTTTTCATTGCAGAAGACAAGGAGGAAGACGTGGAGTACATAGTCATTGATCAGTTCCAGCAGAAATTTGGCTCAGCAGTGAGTAACCGTGAATAATATATTGATAGTGTGTTCACCTGTGATCCTGCCCTATTTTAATAGGAAGTATTGCCATTGGATGCAGGTCTTAGACAGTTCTCTGTGAGCTTCTCATGTCTTGGAGTACCCTTTCACAAGTTGTTGCTACCTTACTCCTAAGATGTGGTAACTGCTGTTTCCTTGAGCAAAGTGCCAATGGTATCTTTGACCACAAATGACTTTTTACTCTAACCTAAAGTGCACAAACTCCCTTTCATAACATACATGTATGAATGGGAAGGTAGGGAATTCAGTGCAGATGTTGCCCACAAGTAGGGGGATCTGCATCAGTTATATAAAAGATTCTGTATCAATTATGAGAGAATGGAATTAGATGGTCCATGTTTGGGAAGCACCAGAGTTGTTTGGTATTAGCTGTCAGAAGAAACTGCTGTTTATTTCCAGTGATGTGTGCAACTTCAGCAGTCTGGGTTCCAACATTTATTTGTTACCTATCTAACACTGATCAAGGACAGTGAAGTCAACAGGAGGCTTGGACTGCCGATGCTGAAAGCTGTCCCAGAACTCTTAGAGCTAATGGCAGATTCAAGGATAAAAAGCTTGTAAGAGACGTTTTGTCTTGCACAAACTTAGCAGACAGAAATCATAATTGTTTCCATTGTGGTAGCAACTGTGAGGGATTGGGACCTTAGTGTGTTAAACCCTGTCCACATGTATAACCAAAACAAGGTTTCTGCCCCAGAGGACCTGACAGCGTACCCAAACATTTTTTTGAAAAGGCAGCTTCTGCTTCTAAATTAATTTTTAATATATTAGCCTTGCTGCCAATATATTAAAAATATAATTGGATAAGAAGTACAATTGGCCTCTTGGAGCAGGGGCCTTGCTTGACCTCTGCTCCAAGATATGCTTTATCACAAGTGTATAATGACTGAAAACCTTTTTCCCTTTAATGCACTTAGCTGTAACCCTTTTTGATTTCTTTTTGCAAATTTAACCCTAAAAAATGTTCTGTTTAATAGGAATATTGGGCATAGACTTCTTCTTAACCCATAGAAAGTGGATACTGCACAGGGAGTAAGGCTCACCATATGATAGCGAAGTAACTCAAAACTTCCTCAGAGGGACCTTCTCTGTTTGTTAGAGTTGTTTAGTATCCATGGTCCATTTGGTCCTTGACCTCTTTGCTCAGTCTGCTAATCGTGATTACATGGCCCTCTGTAATTGGATTGGGAACTCTAACTCAGTTCTCACAGGCCATTTAAATACCTGTCAGATGTACACTTGTGGTCACTACTGCTTTCTGTTGAATGTGAAACAACAGCCTTTCTATTATTAGTCCTTCAAGCCATATCACCTTTGGTAACAGTCCTTTCTTCCTTATTTTCCATAGATACTGCACATCAAAAAGCAGATGGTTCTTAGTGTTGCAGCAGAAGGTGTTAGTCTTTGTCGCTATGGAAAACTCTGCTGGTTTCAGGTAAGGGACAAAGAGAAGGTGTTTTACAGGCATAATTATCAGTAAGGAGTGTGCTATTTAGACCAGTAAAAAGTCTAATGTAAAAGACATTTTACTGGCACTTACCACCAATATAGTTTATTTTCCTTTGACAAACAGAAGTAAGAGATACTAGTGTAAGTATTTTTATACTGGTATGTCTTAGTTAAAGCAGCAAAACACTGCTAGAGTAGATGCAAGGCCTTCATGAAACACCCTAAAAGAGATCAAGAGTTATAAAGAGCCAGAAGAGGAAGATCATCCCACAGCTAGCTGAGATTGTGATAATAAGGTTCTATCTATATTTAAAGTTGTATGCAGCTTGGTTTAAAATACATTTATTGAAACTGGAGCAAAATATGGGTGCCCTTATTTTTATATAAACAAATTTAAAATTGAATGAACTTTTTGCAGAGGGTTTGCAGTGGTTTAATTCAATTAGTTTAAAATAACACCTTTAGTTATTCCAGTGCAATTCTGAGTGTAGGCCATGTCTAAATTCTCTATCACATACCTGGCATATGAGAATGATAAAGGGTGCTTTCTTTTTAGTCCTTGCATTGCTATCTTTAGACCATGGAGGGAGCATTAATGAAAATTAGGGGACTAGTATTTTCTTTGTGACTCTGTGGACACATCTACATGTGCTCTTTAATGCACATTAGCCTATTTTCATGCACAATAAAGCATCACAAAAAAGCATGCTTTTCCTAATGCACATTAAAATAGGCTAATGCTCCTTTTTCTAATACCTCACAGTGGAGGTACTAAATTTAATGCATGTTAGGAAAAGCACGTTAACGTGTATACACGCTCTGTATCTAATGACAGTAGAGAGTGGAAGGTTGTTTTTAATTCAGGCATAGTAGATAGGATTTGTTCTTTTCCTATCTGAAAGTGCTGTTACAGGCAACCCCTGCTTAGCACTCTTAATTGGTTCCT